CCCCTTGCCCCCCCCGGACATGCTGATGCTGCTCGCTCCGCCTGCGCCCAGCTCTGCCCCGCGCCCGCCGCGCCGCGCTCTTTATGGGGTGGGAGCCGACCTGGTTGGGGACTGCGGACCAGGGGGGCGGGGTTCCCGCCACTTTTTCCTGCCTGCGTCACGGATCGCTATGGAACATCGCCTGCTATTACCTGTCAAACAGTGCTGTAAAGTCAGCAAAGTAAACAAAAAATGACACCGCCCCTCACGTACATGTTCGTACCAATAGGAAAGGTTCCCCACCCCCCTTGGATTTGTATAACCCCATTTGCTATGCGTCTGTTTGTGTATTTTATTTTATTGCAATGACTGAGGTTTGTTTGAAATCCTTTAAATTCTCATTATTTTCATGCAGTTGTTCATTTGTTGTTTCGTTTTATTTGGCAAATATATGCAAAGTTCTATATACTTTTCTTCAGAAGTTTTAATGTTTTGAAATATTTTACTGGCTGTAGAGAATTTTCCACAACATCTGTGCTTTCAGGTTTTCTAAGATACAGTGTTTCTCTCTTGGTTTCCGCCTTCCTTTTCTTAAATGGGAAGTTTGATACTTTCTTCTGATTTTGACATAAGTAATTCTGAGTGTGTAAGCACATATTAAGCAGAAGGCGGAATAGAATCTTTTTCATATTATTACCTTTATATTAGATTGTGCCTGGATCAATGAGCCAAGGACAATTGCATAAGGTCCAACAAGGCCAAGGGCCAGGTCCTGCACTTGCGTCACAACAACCCCATGCAACACTACAGGCTTGGGGAAGAGTGGCTGGAGAGCTGCCTGGTGGAAAAGGACCTGGTGAGGCTCCACCTCGGCTCCTGTGCTTGGTCCTGGGCCCCTCACTACAAAACATTGAGTTGCGGGAGCGGGTCCAAAGAAGGGCGGACGAAGCTGGTGAAGGGTGTGGAGCACAAGCCCTGTGAGGAGTGGCTGAGGGAACTGGGCCTGTTCGGCCTGGAGAAATGAGGCTGAGGGGAGAGACCTTATCGCTCTCTACAGCTGCCAGAAAGGAGGCTGTAGCCAGGTGGGTGTCCGTCTCTTCTCCCAAGTAACAAGCGACAGGACGAGAGGCAACAGCCTCCAGTTGTGCCAGGGGAGGTGGTTTAGATTGGATAAGAGGAGGAATTTCTTCACTGAAGGTGTTCTCAAGCACCGCAACAGGCTGCCCTGGGAAGTGGTTGATCCACCATCCCTGGAGGTATTGAAGGGATGCTAAAGGGTTAACAAGAGACCTTTGTGAAGCCAGCTGGAGCTGGAATGTGATAATAGCCCTGAGAAAACAGAACATCCTTGAGGAGAGTGCAGCTTAAAGTACTAACATTGTGGTTTAGGTTAAACTTACTAACCATAAGAGGTGAAAAACTGTAGATAAGAAGCTAACAGTGTGTGGAATGTGCATCATTAGAGAAAAAGAAAAGATTTGTAGTAAATTGCCTATCTTTGTTGCCAGCCTTGTAAAGCACGTAGGGGACAAAACATCTAGCATTTTGTCGATACGAGGATAGCCAGGGATGGGAGCCATCACATACAGAAGTAAAAGGGAATGTTTCAAGGATAGGGAGCTGGCAGGTACCCGCTGTGGTGTTCTGGCAGCAGAACAAGGGGGGTAAAAACCAAAGTTCACCAAAAGGACAAGGTGAAGAAGAGGAGTAGATGAAATAAACTACCCCTGAAGACCACTGACTCAAATCACTGAGCATGTGCAACTGGGAGGAGAATATGTAAATGATTTCCAGGACTTAATTTCCCTGTCCCTGCCTTTTCTGAGGAATGTAATGAATATGTATGTAAAATTAGTATATAAACTATGTCATTAACCCTGTGTGACGCGCACGTTAGGAGGAGCAATCCCCTGTCTGTATGGTGCCGCAATAAAGAATACCTGTTTAATAGTCACCAAGACTATTGAGTCCTGATTTCAGCTTTTCACGGCTTCAGTATTTAGAAGATGCATATATGTGGCGCTTAGAGACATGGTTGGACTTGGCAGTGTTAGCTTTATGGTTGGACTCAATGATCTTAAGGGTCTTTTCCAACCTAAATAATTCTACGATTCTATGACTTTCACTAATTTTGCTCATTTGGAGTTACTGCTGTGGAGATTTTGTCCTTATTTTTTAAAAAATATCCTTTAGTATAACTATAGATTTAATGTTCTGCTACACTAATTAGTAAGAAAATCACCTTCCTATTGCATTGCAGATCAAACTTTTCAATCTTTAGCTGCTGTTTTATGGGTCTGAATCTATACTGGAAACAGATGAGATTTTGAATTAGAATTTGTAAATGTGAGGAGTGGTCCTTGCTAATGATGTGGCAAATGTGACAGTCTAAGGACATCTTGAGCTGGAATAACTACTAGACTAACACATAAAGAATGGTTTCATTTTTTCTGAAATAAAAACAAACAAACAAAAAAAAAGGATGGGTGTTAGAATTTGATTTTTTCTGTCTTTTTATGTAAGAAATGCAAGCACAATTTCTACATGCTCTTTTAAACTGTGCCATATTAGGAATATAATAAGTAGTTTATCTCTATTGTGCTACTAAACTGGGAAGGAGTAGCTTCCCTCCATCTGTTTAATGATGACGGAATTATATTCCATCATAAAACCAAAGGAGTGTTTTGCTCTCTATGGTCGCCTTAAAAGAGGAGCTCATTATCCTGGCATCTCAAATATCATTGGTAATACTGTCCCTAGATGTTTTGATGGTCAATATCAAGAAGAAGCTAACAAATATGATTTAAATGAAAAATTTCTTCTCCCTAGCTAACCTGCATTGCTTCAGAAAAGGAGTCTATTGAGAAACATGGCAATGATCTTTGCTTTTCCCCTCTTCCAATATGAAGCAACCCTCACTGAACTCTCCCCATCAGTTGCTATCGTTCACCTAGGAGACGTGTTCTCAGCATTTATCTGGGCTGTAGCAACGGTGCTTCCAGGTGCAGAGGTGAAGAGGAATGCTTAGGTACATTGGCGAGTCTCCTTAGATTTAGTGTAGTCCTAAGCATGCCTCCTTTCTCTTCCTGAGAGGAGTGAACAGGTGAGCTGAGTGTGATACTGAGGCTTTAAAAACGTATTATACTTGCTACGGGTTTTGGTCATACCAACATGTCACAAAAAAGTAAACAAACTCAAGCCTTTTCTGTTGTTAGTAGCCTAAAGCATTATTCCAGAATAATTTTGGTTGTGTTTTTTTTTTTTTTTAAATACAGCTTTCTTTTCTTCACTCACTAGTGCCTCGTTAGCAGCAGAACACCATATTTCAGTACCCCTCCCTTTCTGCT